TCCTGCATGGAAAGGTGTAGAACATGTTGGAGGCAGCATGTTTGATCATATTCCAAAAGCTGACGCTGCTTATATGATGGTTAGTGAATTTATGTGAGCTGTTACTTTGAATTTTTTTTCCTTTCTTTATATCGGATTGTCAGGATAAGCGATCTTTAAAATATATTTGAAGATATGAAAACACATTTTATAAATGAAAACACATTTTCTTAAATTTTTAGATTGAGTTGTTAATTTTCTCCCAATAAATAATAAAGAAAAAAAAATACCCTAGCAAAATTTGCATACCTACTAATTACTAATGAGTATAATACGATATATAGAGGTTATTTTGATCTTTATATTTGTTAGAGACTAGAGAGTTTCAAACTTGTTCCTGAAATGATCAAATTTGAATATTTTAGAAAGTATTGCATGACTGGGGAGATGACGAATGCATTGACGTACTAAGAAAATGACGTGCTAAGAAGCAATTGTTGGACTTGAAGAAAACCATGAGTATAACGACGTGGTATTGATGATTGACATGGTGATGATGGCTCATACAAGCACGGGAAAAGAACGAACTTTGAGAGAATGGTCTTACGTGTTTAATGAAGCTGGATTCACTCGTTACACTATAAAACAAATTAGATCCTATCACTCTGTTATTGAAGTTTATCCTTGAATCTCAGTCTTTTAATATTAGCAACTATGATTTACTCGAGAAGGGTATCTTTTTTTTGTATGTTTTGTAAGTTTGTAATGATGTGTTGTTTTGCAATCAGAATAATTATTGTATGTTTGTAATGTTGTGTTGTTTTGCAATAAAAATGTAATTATTTTAGTACACGTAAGACTACACTATTATAAAATGCTCAATAATGTCAATCATGTTCAAACTTCAAAAGATTACTGAAATCGTTTTCAACTTTTAATAAATCTCTAAAAAATTCTAAAAAGTTAATTGCATCGTTTTAAAAATGTCTAATAATGCATAACCTATAATTTGATATCTTTCTATAGATATCAAGCATTATCCAATATTTTACTTTGCTGGATGTCTATTTATATTTTTAAATTATTCTTTATGATATCAAACTTTAACCACTATTTTACTTTATTAAATGTTTGTTTACATTTTTCATAATTTTAAGTTTAATATCATAACTAGATTATGACCCGTGTAAAACGCGGGGAACATATAAAATTATAAAAAGTCGACACAATATCAAGATGGTTTTCAAAAGACGGATAAATGGTCGATACAAATGAATGAATATGGTCATATGTAGAGCAACACCCTTTGTTTGTACTTCTTGAATGCAAACATGTGGACAGAGTTTACAAAGATCCATACTATGCACGATAATTGTCCTTCATGTGCTAACTATTAGATATGTGATGAAAGAAAACTCATTCATTTCATATGTATATTTTTTTATAACTATTAATAATATCAATACATATTTAATTGCAGTATATTTAAGTAAAAATGAGAAATTGATGATGATATATGAATCAATTAAGTGAATATAAAAACTACATCCCTATTATTGGAAAAAGGAATAGTACATTGCTATTGTTCAAAAACAACAAAAGCAATCAACATACATATTATTGAATAAAATAACATTCACCACCAATAAAAATTTGAAACACCTTGGTTTTATTTGTAAACATAAATGACACAATTTTTCATAGAAAATGAATTTGATGCATTGATGTCTTAAAATGAATTTATTAAATTCTTCAATACATATATTAAAAAATAATATCATAAATCAAAATAAAACATAACTTGACGATTAAAACTATAAATTAAAAAAAAAACAAAGTATTCAATCATAAACTGATATAAAATACTAAATATATTAATGAGAAAAAACAACGGTTTTCGAATGCAATTTAAAATATATATAATCACATATTTCTACCTGGCATAATCACTATCTCAAAATCTGAACGAAATGAAAATATTTCATGAGAATGATGTGCCAGAACAACATACTCAATCGTATTTCATTTAAAAAATAAAGGAGATTGTTTCGATAATCCTACCATTTATTTGCACCAGCATTGTAATTACTAACATCCACTTTAGCTCACCGATTCTGAATGAAAATTCAAATAGCCCACAAATGATCTCCACTTATAGAAAAATATCCCAATTTTCCGTCAAACTTGATAAGTTTCGATGCATACGAGTTGAAATCATTAATAATAGAAGATGCAGATATCACTAAATATTCTTCCAAATTTGATTGATAATACGCAATCTTTATTTTTGAAATAGATAAGATTATAAATACCTTAATTGTTGCGAAATTACATATGTTTCACTTTTATATATATATATATATATATATATATATATATATATATATATATATATATATATATATATATGTTCCTTTTCCATTGGACCTATGTTTCGTATAAGATAAATTAATTCAAAATAGAATTGTTGATTTTCAGGGATACGGTTGATTAAATGCGTTTGAATTATTTACTGTTAGGATAACTAAATAATTCTTGAAGCTCAATATTTATAGCAACGAGCTGGCGAGGGTTTAGAGGATATCAATCTTTGATTTGAATCAAAAAGCTTTGCTAACCTGATTTAGATGGTGGCGTATTGGACTTTGATAATGCAAAGTATTCGAACGTGATGCTATAAACAAAATATTTCAAGAAAATGTGATTACAGATGAATGATATTATACTTATACATAATTTACAAAACGAAATTGAAAAAGATATCAATCTTTGATTTGAAATTATACATATTAGCTGTGAATAAATTTTAAATATAAAACATACCTTCATATTACGTGATTTAAAAAAAGAATGGCAAAATCTTTCAAGAAAATGTGATAACAGATGAATGATATTATATTTATACATAATTTACAAAAAAAACGAAATTGGAAAGGATATCAATCTTTGATTTGAAATTCTGGAAAATTTTGTTTGACAATTAGGAAGCTTTTATGGGAACTAAATACATTCTATTTCAATGGATGTAAGTTAACTGATTGGAAGATGTTAAAGATTTTTGCGTTTTATATAATGTTTCAATTCTATTTTTGTGTTTTATTTAATGGGAAAAATAGTTTTTACCCCTTACACATTTTTTTGTAGGAATACTTACAACTGTTACGAACAATTTACAAATCTATATATTTTGGTTGTGTTAGTTTTAATTACTTGATGATTATATATATATATATATATAT